ACTATAATTTGGGGGGTACCACTAATTAGTTGACCTTTGAATATTAAAATATGACCATAAACTTCCGCGATGGGGAACGAGTGAAATGGGCTTCTATCTTATTTGCGCCTCACATGTCATTCCCGTTTCGAAAATATCACTAATCTTGAATCTAAGCGTGATGCTCTCCATATCGTATCTGTATAAATGGTTCATCATCAAATAGAGAAAGCGGAACTGACCTGGAATATCCTCTTTCTCGGAACTATCGGGATCACCACCATGATCTCTGCTGAAAACTCCATCGAATTTCTTGAAGAAACGCAAAAGTGTCTTTTTATCTTGCTGCTTCATGTCAGAGTAGGCGTCCTTGATACTGTAAAGGTGACAGTCACATCAGCTCGAGAGTACATCTGTGATTTACCTTTCAAACGCTTCCTGTTCGTCTTGCCCATTGTTTGCAACATCGAATGCTTTCCTGATCACCTGAAATCGTGATGCTTAGCAGTATTCCGAGAAAAGTTGCATCATCCTATCACCGCATGTCTGTTATGTAATTACCTCTACAACGAAGTTGTAGGCTTGGCTGTCCCCTTCTTGCTCTTGTAATCGCTTAAAATTCTCCCGATCTTTCTGCAATACGCAATGAAAATTCGACAGTTCAACAGTTCTGTTGGTACAGATATGTGGCGTCTCGATTTTTGGGCAACCCGAGACCAGGATTAAAAATTAGAAGCACCCATTGCATAGTACTCCTCATATATTTCATTGTCGTTTTGCACAACAGCCGATCAAGTACGCGCTGCGCGATTGGGATTCGAGAATTGTGAGGTACTTATCTTGAACATTTTTGACTCACTTACCCTTAGCTAAAGTTTGCCTGCGGATGAAATTTCCACTTTTCAAGGAGGATCGAAGAGGGGGGGGGATCCGATAAGTCCTTTGGCCCTCCAACATCACAACACGCGACGCAGCCGCAGACATAGGATGGATAATTCACAATCTCTACGGTGTTCTACGAGAACCTCTTCACTACTAAAGTCATACTGTCCCAAAAATTCTCCGCCGATTGATGGGTGACACTGCCCAAGAGCCTGGACACAACAGGAAATTTTTCAACGAAAAATAACCGTGTAGAAGAGGGTACTACGACTGGATCCCGGACTAGCTACCGGGTTTTGAGCACCGGAAAAGTTACGATAGGTGGGCCATCAACAGCCTATATGCTGGAATTAAGTAGTCTGCCTCCAGAAAGGTGTTTGAAGTAATTTAGAAAAATATGTAGTAGTGCTTACTGGGCGCATTAGGGAGAGTAGGCTTGCCTTTGATCTCTGCCAAGCAATATAATCGGAAGGCACCTTTAGATCAATCCGACTTCCTTCGTGCAGCTAAAAGTATGTCAGCTTGGAAAAGAACGTTTTTTTTTTGGTTAAATTTTATCTATCTAGTAGTCACACTGGTTGAGTTCTTCGAGCAGGTAGCAAGAAGCGACACATAGAGTAGTAGACAAGGGAGACGCGGCATTTCTGGCTGTGCTGCCAAACAGGAAACTGAAATTGGTTCCTCCTCCCACACTTTTATGTTGTAGCTAGGATGGTTCAAAAGAAACATATTTTTCAATCAAGTGTGTTTTCATATCACAAAACATCGCGTTTCTTCAACAAGATCTCAGTTCTCAGCTTCGTTTTGGCAACTGTGTCATCTCTCAGGAATTTTTTCAATATTCGCGATATTATTCCTGATGGGTCCAACATTAGTCAGAATGTTGACTTTTCTAGAACAAATTGGAACACCATTCATCGAGCAACGTTCAATACATTCCCCAATACCATACGGTATTGGGAAAAACATGTGCATACGGTAGCCTTTGTGTAACACACCGATTTTGCGTCGTGCCCTCCTTCCGCCATTCAGTAGACGTATTAGAAGAATAATACGCTGACGGTAACCTTCCCCTTCACTACTAATTATTCAATGGTGAATATGTCCACACTCTGTCCATGTGCGGTTATTCACGTGCTAGTTCGAGGGCTTTAGACCGTTCAACATCCCATATTATTGCAAGAGTCCCTCCTTCTCAATCACCCTATATGAAGAGAGCACAGGTGGTAACATCGGATTCTGGGCGTAACCAATCAATTGGCATATTTTCAGTTTTCAAGCCGACTGATAGGCGGTGACCGCGAATTGTGACTGATATGATGAAGCGCACTTCGAGCATGCCTTAATTTTTCTTCTGATATAGGGATATCTGTTTCATTTACATTGCAATGAAAATCCCAGTTGAATGTCGCTCATAATGCACGCACAATCGCTCTCAATGTCTAGAATGGAAATTAATGCCTATGACTAGGAGCACACCTTCTCTCGCAGACAAACCATTTTCAAACGTGTCGACCCGAAGTAGGAGTAGTATGCATGGCGCACGCTCAAAATCAACCCTTCATAAGGGAACCATCACTCGCGCATCGACCTTAAGGAGAAAATATCTTCTGATGAGATGCTGAGGTTTCAAGAAGAGTATTCTTGGAATGGCCGGCAAGATTTCGAGCTTTTGAGTAGCTTGGAATTTCGGACATCAAAAGCACCTCCGACAACCGCGGGAAGGGGGGGGTGACAAGAAAAAGACCCTTTTCCCTCGACTCTCAAGGCGAAATAACTTACACTTCATTAACTTCTGATTGGACTATCACCATCGAATTCAACAACACATTGAACTTGATCAAAACTCCGCCACAGCCTTCTGGACGAACGCCATCGAGAGATTCTGCCACGCGACCGTGATTCGGTGCCTGAGTTCAGCGAGATCGTTGATTTCTCCGCCACTGTAGACCACCCTGTTGAGCTCCGCCCGAACCCTAAGTTGAGGGGGTTCAGGTCAGGTGGCACACTCAGATATTCCGTTTTCTCGGGTACTCAACGTCCTTCATTCCAAGTAGGCGAGAGTTTTTTCAACGCCCTTCTCCATGTGCTGGCACCCAATCCTGTAGCAGTACGAAGTTTCCAAGAAGGTACAGGCGATGACATGAAGGCAGGATATTCTCCACGAGTTGTCGATGTAACCGCCAGCGTTCACTTCAGTCCGGGGTCCACGAAGAAAATATCGGTCTCTCCATTCCAGGTACGTCCGGTCCATACCATCAACCCGCGCCTTGGCGACTGCGGTGAAGATGATGTCCTGGACCGTAGCGACGTTGTCGGAGCTGCTCGATGTTGGAGGTCTTCCAGATCAAGAGTGCTGGTCTCCAGGTAGCTATCCATGGGTGATTCCATTCAAGAAGTTCCGCAGCTGTTTGGAGGTGACGTGAAGATAGGCCTTTTTCTGTTCCGCTGCCATTGCAGGTGTCTTCATATTTTGGTGACATGAAAGTGATGGACGAAAGCGTGCTCACGCTCATCGAAGATATGTGCCCCGGGGAAGTGCCTTTTTCCCCCTGTAGTTTTCGAAGTAGCGGCTTTTCAGAAAAGAAATGCAATGTGTTTTCAGAGTGGTGGTTATTCACTTTTCAGCGGTATTTTTGGTTTGCCGAAAATTGCCTCACAGGGGTGTTGTTGTCGTTCATTTTATGACAATTCGCATGACTTGATTCGCCCAGGCAAAACTCATCAAAGATAGCTCTTGGACTGCGGTAGATTCGAAGCAGAGCATTTACGGGGCAAAGGATATTATATTCTCCATCTAATCTTTAGCTTAAATGCCACTCATAGGAGTTGCTAGACTGCTCCGCAGCTCTTCGACCACCTCGAAAAACTGGTCCACCGCAGCGTTGGTATTTCGCGCGAAATTTAAATTCATAATTTTGTGCTGAAAGAGGTGTATGAGATGAAAATGCGCGCAAAATAGAGGTGTCGTTTGTACCTTCCCAATTTCTCGGAAGCTCATACGCACGATAATCCGTGCCTGCAACAACGACAGTCCACCATCACAGCATTGCTGACTAAATCGTGAAAACACCCATTCCAGGTGCCGTGACAGGGGCTGCTCAAACAGAAACTATAAACGCATCTCCGTAGATCCTGCTCGTTGCCATGTACGATGTGGTTGGGTCAGCTGAAGTAGCTGTCCTCTCCCGTGAAAGGTGCACGGAAATGGCGGAGACACCCGGGCCCCGTTTCCTAAGGCATCCAGCACCGCCGCACGGCCAGCCACACCTGTGACCAAAGTAAAACGCGCTACTAGTCTGTCTTCTCTCACTCCTGCTTATACTTCAGCCCTGATTGTGTGTTTGCTGCTGTACGGGCATGCTTCTAGGGGCAAGCGCTTCCCCCTAGAAACAACGCGTCGTAACCTTAGAGCGGCACCTGGGAACCAGCACCTTTCATTACCACGCTCTCAAGAGAACAACGTGTTGCACTCGTGCAGCTTCCAACTCGTTTTCTCGCAAGTAGCAAGGACCGCCTTCGAAAAATGGCGTGCCACTTGTTTCCAACGAAGACCTTGTTCGTTTCCGAAAATCTAGCCTACCGCTAGAAGAGCGAGCTACCCACAGATTCCAGCTAAGATTTCGAGTGTGAAGAAGAAGGTTATCCAACGTAACTCGACCTCATTAAAGGCACATACCACGATAAAATAAGGCTATGACCTCTCAAATGTGTCGGACGATCCGGAAGGCGA